GGAAATTTTTTCACTCCTGTGATTTGAATCTTAATATGTTATGTTTTCATACTTTTGCTTTTTAAGTCTTTTTCAGAAAGTTCCTCTGGTGGTCACTAACCTGGGTATGGCAGAACAGCAGGGGTACAGAACAGTGTCTGGTTCCTGCATATCTGCTGGCTTTGTGAGAGCAGTAAGACAGCACAGGTACAATATATACCCTCTGTACTGATATGTTGAAGCTTTCCTAGAAGTTAGAGGAAGACTCCTTTATTACAACTTTCAGTCTCAAGGATAAAAGTGTAAACTGATATTCTACCCAAATGACTTGGATACAGACCAGTAAGTAACGACCATAACCGTATGGCTCAACAAATGCTATACTTCTGTAGAAAAAGCTAAACTACTATAAATGTAAATCTTCCCCTCACATAGAGTCTTGTTTCTTTGATATCCTACTTAATATCCTCTGCTCACTGGAATTTGACTTGAACTAGTCAAAAACTTCCCTTCTATGGGGTCAGTTTTCCACATTACTGCTGCAAGATGAACTTTACATGTAGCTTAGTAAAGCTGTCTAATTTTAGAGAATAAACTTAATGCTGAGTACTGGGATCATTCCTTTTCAATTCTACCATTGATTCTTTTTTCTAAAGGTCAGATTTCTTTTATGAAGATGGATCTTTACAAGAGGTTCGTAAGATTAATGAAATGTATGCCACCTTGCAGGAAGAATTGAAGGTAAGTCAGACTTACCTGCTTGTACAGCCATTTTTCCACCAGTGTCCCAAACTTAGAGTAAGCAAAGGCCAAAACATCCTGCACTAAGTGAGAAAGAAGCATAAAAGGACATTTTGCCCTCTTAAGATGTTGTTCAAAGACAAATGAGTTAAGGGGACAGCCACAAGCAGTAAACAAGAGTTCTGCAAGAGGAAGCTGTAACACTGCAAGAAATATCTTTCCATTTAGGCAGAGATTAAGCTTATTAACAGAACTGCAAAGAATATTTGAGAGTGTTATCTAGGGCCTACTCTCTGTAGTTCATTCTAGCTGTTTCGGAGAAGTAGTAAGTGTCCTGCACCTTACTCAAAGCAAGGCTAAAGTTTCACATCTTGAAAAAAAAAAAAAAAAAAGAAAAGAAAAGAAAAAACAGTCCAAACTCATTATTGCTGCTTTTTAATACCCTTCATTTTAAAAGCTGGGAATAAAGTTTGCTATGCAATCAAATTGATCAACTGATTTCACACAGTTTATCTGATAAAAAAAACTTGTCCTTGCAGAACATAAGCTCTACAGTAGAGGTTAGTGAACGATCTGTAGAGAAGCTCTTAGCAGAAGTGAAGCAGTTAAAAGAAGAAATAAAGAGAAAGAAGCAACACAAACATTCTCTGGGTAAGTTGAATAAACCCGATGCTCATCTCAGTAATACTTCCATAGTCAGCTTCACTGACACAAACAAAGCTCTTTTGAAAGCCCTCCCAGAGCTTCTGATACAGCCAGAATAGTCCTGATATGAATATGCAAGTGGGCATGAAATTCTGACCTTTGTTTTTCAGGAGAGGACAAAAGCCACGCGGGAGAGCCCAAGGAGAATGTTTTCCTTTGTCAGGCTTTGCAAACATTTTTTCCCAATTCTGGACTCCAGACATGCACTGTTTCCTTCAAAGGCAGACAGATATTTAAGAACTGCTGTAATACTGACCATAACATTAATGTTGTAGACAAACTGACTCTCATGGTAGAGGAAAGAGATTTCACTGAAGCTGAAACAAGACAACTAACGAAACGTAAGGCCAGAGGGACCACAGCAGGACCAAAATCATTCAAGAAATCAAGATCCCTTCAGCTTCACCAAAAGTTACTTCGAGATCAAGAGGACAGTGACCAGGACAGGAAGCTTACACTGAGCAGCACTGAAACAGATGAGGAGGTGTTAGAAAAACTGAAGGATACAACTGAATACCCACAGTCTCCCACTTTCTAGGTGCTTAGCCCACATGATTGCAGCTGCACCAAATGCAACTGCTAGGATGTTTAAACTGTCTCCTATGACTTTTTAGCACTGCAGGGATAAAAATGACATACTAGATTTACAAAATATATAAATATTTTGAAATGCATTCATCTTACTTTGGATACACAGTGCAGAGTCCAAATTACTCTTCCTCATTCTGCCTTTTAGAGTTAAGTCTGTTCTTTCTCTCAGGGTTTAAAAATGACACAAGTAGGGTGTAAGCAGAGATGTGTCACATACTGCCTCAAAGTGACACAGCTTAAAGCTACTGCTGAAAAAAAAAAAAAAAAAAAAAAAGAGAAAAGAAAAAAACACAGTACCATGCCTTGGATAAGCCTTTTCTCAGCAGAAAGTGTTCAGAAGGATTAAGTCAGCCCAGGTAACAGAAGAGGAGCAGCTGCTGTTGACATACTACCGGACTTTACATATTTCCACCTATGCTTCCTATGCTTTGCTACCCAGGACTCCCTAAGCCTCTCCCCCTTTATAGTCCAATAATGGAAAAGCAGCTGGTTCACTTGGAGGTTTAGGGCAGTTTCCTAAAGCAAAAGTAGTCAGTACAGCTAAGGATTTTGCTCTGAGTTTTTACCTTCCTTCCAGAGACTTTTCCACACGGACAAAAAAAATCTCTCACCCACAAAGTTTCATGCCAGCACACCACATTTTTTGGTAAAAGTAAGTCTATAAACAAGTATTCAAATAGCTTTATTATTTATTTCTTTACAATACACGTTACTCTGGATATTTGACATTACAGATCTTGGGGTCCATAAGAAATGATGGGTTCTTAAACATAACTGGCATAAATCCTGTAAGGAAAGGAAGATTGAGGGATTTAAAAAAAAAAAAAAAAAAACCACACTTGTCCTATGAGACTCAAATTATAGTCATACTTACCAAACACATGAGCTCTTTTAATGGCTTTTGAAATTTCTTTCTGTTTCTTGTTGCACAAACCTGTGTATATAAAACACTCTTAGTATCTACCTGCACAAGAACCAAATCGTTTAAGAGATGAAAACATTACTATTTCTTCTAGCTTTTTAAAGTCTTTCTAGAAAAATCATGTCTGCTTATACAAACTGTTGAAGTTAAGAGGATTATAGCTACAGAATATTGTTACAGGGCTACAAAGAAGAGTAAAAACAATGCATATTCAGCTGCCCTTTCCGAAAAGATACTTTTATATGCAATTACTCAGCAACCTTAACAACCTTAACTGATCAAACAGCACTGAATGAATTAACAGTAAAAACAATGCATATTCAGCTGCCATTTCCAAAAAGATACTTTTATATGAAATTACTCAGCAACCTTAACACTGATCAAACAGCACTGAATGAATTAAACATCACTTACCTGTTATGTGCCTGCCATAAACACGGCCAGTATAGGGAGAAACAAACTGTGACAGAAGCTGTTAAAAAATAGTCAGTGTTAGTTTCTTAAAAGTTTTAACTTATTTCTAGCTATTCATTATTATGAATCTGTTCTTACTGAAGTACAGTTTTTTTTCCTTTAAGGAAAATTAAGTTAATAAACTAGAATTAAGAACATAGCAATTTCCACAAACATAGAAAATTACCATATTGAACATGATGTCCCATTTGCATTATTTATTTTGTTATCCTTAACCACACAAAGTCATTATGGAAGTTTTAGACCCACTTTACATCAAGCTTTGAAATCCTCAGATATTTTCCTTGAACTTTTAACCCTCCACCTCAACACAGCAAATCTAGAACTCACCCTGCATCTTTAAGCACAGATACTTTAAAGAAAATCACCTGCACATTCTTGTAGTCAACATTTATTCCACATAAGACACATCTTTTTGGAGGCTCTTTATAGGGATTCTCCATTTCTACTGGCTGCAATTGTAGAAATATCAACATTTCAGTCTTAGCAACAGTAGTAGGTTCTACTCTTTTTCCTTAGCATTCAGGAAATAAATAAAGTGCACGTTTATTGAAACAAAAAGGGTAAGAATCTTCAAGACTCAGTATTTTGGACAGGAGGCTGTTACACATGCTCCTCAAACACCCCAATATTTGGCATTTCCAAGTGAAATCGTCTGTTAGGGGCCCCCTGCACCCCAAGGGCGATGACGTCGCACACCGGAGTTTGGGCGCACTCGACTTATCCCAACAAGCTCCAGCCTCCCCCGCGAGCAGCTCCCGAGCGCGGAACTTACGAGATCCGACGTGGCCGCCACCGCCTGCGCCGAGCTGCAGCCCCC